AACCGGCGAAGCCCAGGCCGCTGCAGCGGAGCTCGCGCACTTAACTGCTTTCGCCACCGGGCCGGCCCACCGGTGACGTCTTATCTGGGTTACAGTATGCCTTTCAGGTACTGCTGTAGCAGCAACATACAGTCAAGTCTGTTAAACATGAAAGAGTTAAATGATTTCTATTATGGCTAAATAGTAAAGCTCCTAAGAAGAAAGAATCATCAATTTTTTGTATCCTTTACTCACTAATGAGTAAACACCTATTAAACATCTGCTGAACTGAATTTATTACGAAAGTCACACATACACAAACATCACACCCTAAACTTGCACTATATTTTATTAGAAAAACATTCCTATTGTGGTTACAAAGAAAGAAGTAGCCTCAGTAATACAGTCTTCTCTATTAGACTTCTATATGTAAGACTAATGGTATAGTCTTTAATAGAATAAGTAACAACTTAACATAAAAAAGGAATTGGGGTCTACCAATATACAATTACAGGAAACAAGAAAAAAGGCATTGTGACAAAAAGTGGGAATCCAGTCTACCTAAATGCTTGCAAAATATAAAAAGAATGGAGCTGCCATGGGAATAAAGATGACACTTTGCTTTTATTCCCATACATACTGGCAGTCATGCACCACGTAATGGTGTTTTGGTCAACCGCAGACCGCATATACGGTGGTGGTCCCAGAAGATCAATACCATACAGCCTAGGTGTGTAGCGGGCTATACCATCCAGATTTGTGTAAGCACACTCTGTGATGTTCTCACAACGAAATCGCCTAACAACACATTTCTCAGAACGTATCCCTGTCATTAAGCAATGCATGACTGTATGTACATTCTGAAAGAAAATATACTGCAGGTAGCATTTGAAAAAAAAGTTTAGTGAATTCTTTCAACATAGGGAAAATAAGGTTTTTCAAAAACCACAGCAAATAGACCAAGCTTTCATTTCCAAAGGCAGCCTCCATCTACCTCAATCTGAAAGAAAAGTATTCTCTAAATAATTTTTAAAAGGAAAGATTTGATAAAAGCTAAATTAATGATTCTAAGAGAAATAAGTTTTTATCTAATAATAAATTATCAATTTACCTCCCTCTTGCCTCTGATTTCATATCTTAAAAAATATTTTTTTGATTTTATTTTTCCTTTATATTTACTTTCTTTTGTTCTTATATCCTTTATTTAACTGAGGATGATAGCTATATAAAACGGTGTCAGAGAAAAGCTACAAGACTAGGCTGTTTCCAGGATGTTACACTCACAGTGTAAAGATTGACAGATCGTAGGAAACCTGTTTTTATATATCTGTCTCTAAGTTGCTCTTAAGTCTGTAGATGAAGTCATTTTGTCATGCAAGATTTTAGACTAGGGACACTTCTTTTTTTCCTAGTGAAGAAATACTTTTATCTATTCATACTTCCTTTTAAAATTTGGAACACCACACATTATGCGATCATTTTAAAATGCTAAAATATAAATTACAACACTGAAATAAATTTATTAATTTATAGTCCTATACTCTAAAATTTATACTGAGAAATATAAAAAAAAATTCCCAGCATATTCCAGCTAAACCTAAATCCAGAGCCTGAGTGTGATCTGCACTCTGATACACCTTAAACTCTAAACTTCGTAAAGAAAGAAAAGGAGAGATGGAGAAAGTACAGGCAGAACCAAAGTTGTCTCAATGTAGTTCCCCGCATGTTTGGTTTAAAGCTGGTCAAGATTCCTATCAAAGGAAGAGGGACAGGGATAATATTTAAGAGCCAGGCACTGTGCCAAAAGGTGAAAACATAGCAAGGAACAAGTCTGCACAGTCTCTGTCTTCAAGGAGCTGAAGGCTAATTCTAACTAGAAGAACTATTATGGTCAAAGAGCATAAATATTTTCAAGGATGTTTAAGCTCTCAATACATTTTACCATTTCTCTTTGAGAAAGATTTTATAGTAACTTATCACTAACTGAACAGCACACTACTTTTAACCAAGCATCCTTCTCCTCATTTTCATTATCTATTTTCCAGTTTCATGGGCAATACCTGATTTCTATGGCACTTCTTTTCTTAGTACTGAGATAGAACTTTTAAATAAGCTTACGAAACATTTGTATCTACTCTTTTTAGAAGTACATGTTTATTTCTTTTATCCATTTCTTTGTTGAAGTCTCACTATTTTTCCTCATTGTTTAGTTTTTGCATATTAAGGAGGCTACTGCTTTTATATATTTTATGTAAATATTTTCCCAGGTTGGTGTTTGTTGTGTGCGTGTGTGTTGTATATATGCACATGTACATACACTTATATGTTTAAACAGAGAAACAGGTCCTGGGCTGGTCTTTACAGAGATATCAAGCCAGGAAAGTATGATAGCTTTTCCTAAATTCAGTCTGTTTACTGCAGTGATTTTTAGAACAAGTACCAGAAAGGAACTATAAAAGTATAAGAAAGCCTAGTTTTAAGTAACTAACTTCACTGAATTAATATTTATTGGCACGGCAATGTAGAACAGCACCAAAATGGTTTTAAAATTTCCAACTTCTCAACTGCACAATATAATTACACATACTGTAACAGAATCAAGTCTCTGTTTCACTTGCTGCATCTTCACTGAAGAATTTTCAGTGTGGACATAGTCATCAATCTGAAAAGAGCCTTGAGGAGGCAGTTTAGGACAGGTGCACAAAGCTTCTTGACTTTGGTGTATTCCAGGTAACGGAAACGTTCCATTGTAGCGTTTGAACATTTCAGCCTCCTGCTGGGCAACTGGAGAAATGAATCCATGTTAGTTTATCATCATACCAAAAGCATAGTGAAATAATTAAGCCATGAAATTGTAGCATTAAACAAATGATCAGAAACTGTACAATACATTTTAAATACTAGGTAATAATAAGACAACATGACTGGCAAAATATGAAATTATTAAATACTATAAAACCATAAAGAAGGAAATATAATAATTTCACAGATAATTTCATGTCAGGCAGTACTATAATTGAGCCCTGAAGGCCAAGCAATACCTTGGTCTGGTAAACATAACAAATTGGGACAGGAGCCTAACTTTAAATACATGTATATAGAAAGCATTATATAAAAAAATCAAAGACATACTAGAATTAAAAGAAATGCAAAAACAATAAAAATAATTATTCACAAACCCATCTCCCTAAAACTGTTTTCATATTTCTATATGCCTCCTAATCTTTACACATATGTACACTTTATGTAAGATATCATAGTGTAAATACAATTTAACATTTTTTCAACTTAAATGCAAACGTTTTTCACATTTCTACAACTACGCAATCGCTATCTTTAAATGCTTTACCACATCTTATCTAAGGAAGCATCATAATTTATTTATGCATTCTCCTATTACTAAATATTTACAATGTTTTCTGTTTTCCCTCATTACAGACCACATATGAATAAGTACTTTCAAAGTTTAATTTGTTTCTTAAAATAATTCCTTCTTTGGGGGCCAGCCCAGAGGCATAGTGGTTAAGTTTGCAGGCTCTGCTTTGGTGGCCCGGGGTTCACAGGTTCGGATCCTGGGCACAGACTTATGCACCGCTCATCAAGTCATGCTGTGGCATGCGTCCCACATATAAAGTAGAGGAAGATGGGCATGGATGTTAGCTCAGGGCCAATCTTCCTCAGCAAAAAGAGGAGGATTAGCAACAGATGTTAGCTCAGGGCTAATCTTCCCCACAAAAAAAAAAAAAAAAAGAAAGAAAAAAGTTTTCTTTGGATTTAATTCCCCAGAGTGGCAAAGATGGCTCAAAGGGTGAATGTTTTTGAGGATGATGATGACAATGACAAGGACAACAGCATCTGTATTGTACTTTATGGTTTTTTAGGATGCTTTCACATACATTATCTCTTTTATCATTTAAAAAGTTTAAATGCTTGGTTGTATATACAAAGGAGAAAAAATATAAAGTAATCATTTAAAAAAGTATTTCCTTAATTACATAATTTTAAATGGAAGGCCTCTCTAAACATGACATGAAAAGAAACTGATACAACAAAGATTCATAACATGGACTCAACAGATGAGCCTTCAGAGATTCTGTGGACTACTGAGTTACATAGAGAAATATGAGTGTGTCTATATAAATGTTTCTGGAAATCAGGTCCATAACTTTTATCAGATTATCTATCAAAGAACTGTATGAGTCAGAAAACGTGAAGAATGGTCAATATAAAAATGGACAGATTTTGCTACATGAACATTTAAAGAGTCTTCATTAAAATTAAAAAACTACTGAAATCAAACTTAAAAAGCAAATGATAGGTAATAGAGTTCTTCCACCTCTGGCCAAAATAGAGTAAAAGGGACCAGGTTTGCTCCCCTGCTTGAAACTACCAAAAAAGGAGACAAAACGTATACAAGGAAGAAATAAAACTTTCTTTACAGATATAATCACCCATGCAGAGATAAGACCATGCTGGGGCAAGTGATGGACATAGAGAAGAAAATTTAATGGCGTACACACTGGCAGGTCCTGGCTCATTTGTGTAAAAATTCTGAATGAAATGTAAAAAATAAGCCACTAGAACTAATCAACTTTAGCAAGGTTCCAGGATACAAGACCAGCATACAAAAATTAACTGTATTTCGATATACAAGTAACAAAGAATCAGAAATTGAAATTTAAAAAAACATCAAGATTCTTCAATACAATACCAAAATCCATAAAAGAAAAGAATTGATAATTTTGGACTTCATCAAAATTTCAAATGTCTGTTATTCAAAACCATTAAGACAATTAAAAGACAGTCCAAAGACAGGGGGAAATATCTGCAAATCATGTATCTAAAAGAGCGCCACTTGTACACAGAAAACTTAACTCTCGAAACAATAATTAGAAAACAAACAAGCCAATTTAAAAGATGCACAAAAGATCTGAATAGACACTTCACTGAAGAAGATGTATGGATGGCAAATAAGCACATGAAAAAGGTACTCAACATCACTAGTCATTGAGGATAAGCAAAACCAAATGAAATAGCACTGCACACCTATTAGAATGGCTAAAATTAAAAAGACAGACCATTTCAAATTTAGCAAGGATATGGAGATAGTGAAACATTCATGCACTACTGGTGGAATGTTAAATGGCACAACCACTTTAGAAAACAGTTTGGCAGCTTCTTAAGAAGTTAAACATACACTTGCAGTAGCATCCAGCCCTTCTACTCTTAGAAATTTATTCAAGACAAATGAAAGCATATGTCCATACAAAGACTTGTAGATGAATATTCATAACAGCCTTATTTGTAATAGCTAAAAACTGGTTATGATCCAAATGCCCATTAACGGGTGAATGGATAAACAAACTGTGATAGATCCATACAACAAAACAAAACTCAGAAATAAAAAAGATGAACTATTGATAAACTCTAAAACATAGATGGATCTCAAAGTAATTATGAGTGAAACAAGCTGGATAAAAAAGAGTATATGACACATACTGTTTCACTTATATACAATTCTAGAAAATGCAAATTAATTCATAGCAATTGCCTGGGGGGAGGAGAGGTAGGGAGAGCATACAAAGGAGGACAAAGTAAGTTCTGGGGAAGATGGATGTGTTCGCTATCTTGACTGAGGTGATGGTCTCACAAGTGCATAAACGTGTCTAGACTATCAAAGTGTACATTTTAAACATATGCAGTTTATTGTATGTCAATTATACCTCAATAAAGCTGCTCACACAGAAAAGCAATGACGAACTAGTGATAAAAGGTGTTAATACTCTTAATATGCAAAAAGTCCCCATAAAATCAATTAAAAATGAATAATCCAACAGAAAAATGGGCAAAAGATCATTATGGAAAACTCACAAAAGAAGAAATACGTGGCCAATAAAAAACATATTCAACCTCACTAATAATTAAAGAAAGAATTAGTAAGGGAAAAAAGGCAAATAAGAAAGTGATGCTTTTTTTCTTCCTGCCTGTTTTAACTGACCCTTTGTACCACAAGATATTTTTTCCTAAGGAACAAATTGAATAAGGGTAGCCAGGTGTGTACCGAAGTATTGTTTAAAAAATTAAAAAACATCTAACAGTGAAACTGTGCAACAAAAGTTGCTTAAATAAATTATGGTACATTCTTTAATGAAAGGGAATTCAGCCACTAAAATTATGTACAGAAGTATAATTATCATGATGGAAAATTGCTCATAATATACTATTACTTGGAAGAAAAAAATTAATAAAACAATATAATGAATATATGAAAGGATGATCACTTTTTGTTTTTAGTTATCAACTTTGGTTTCAAAACCATGAATCTGAGACAGCACACATAAAAAATTTTATTTCTTTGCCCTTTATATTCATGCCCTACTTTGTTCACACACTCTAAATGAAGAAGAGATCAGTAATAATGGGTGCTCTCTCCCTGCAGACCTGGATCATGGTACATACCAGGCGACATTATCCAGGGAGAAGACCTGCTTACAATCCACCCTTTCAGAGATGCACATTCCTCAATACCTATTAATGTTCTCAGATGAAAGTGCAGCTGTTTCTACACTTTGATTTTTATGGGTTTGACTACTATTTTTCAGTTTACATTTTGGACTTCTTTTCATTACACTCAGATCATTTATTCACTCTCAAACATTCAAGATTGTTTAAAGCAGCAGCGAAACTTTGAAGCTGTAAAAGGCAAGTGCTCTCTGGACTGGCATTTGGAAGATTTAACCTCAGTAGATGGGTCAAGGATGAATGAATCAGCACGTGAAAATCATGTTCCATGATCTCTGCCTTACTTGCTTTTCTAAATTGTCCTTTAACATTTCACTGTTTTTGCTGCTACGAATAGAAAGTAAAGCTGGATCTAACTGTTTAATGGCATTTTCTGATTCCCCATGTTTTTGTAGCTGCCTGATATATATTAGCCAACCCCGATTTCACTTTAAGCTCTGAGTGAGTAAATGTGCATAGAAGTACATATGCTGATATATGCAACAGTTACACAGGATAGTAGAATTTTGGTATTTATCTTATTCTTTTTTGCCAAACTGTATTTTCTAAGTATTATGCTATGCTAAACATGTATTATTTTTCCTTTTTTAAAAAGGAATTTTTTCAACTAGTAAAAAATAAAAAGTATTGCCTGTATTTTTCCGGGCATTAAGATGCATTTCAGAAAGGATTAAATTGGCCTAAATGGATGCAGATAACAAAAATAAGCCCCAATTACGAATAATTGTTTCTGTTGTCTAAAGAGAATTTTGTATTCAAAAGCCATCTGACTAGATTTCAAGGAGTCAAATTAACACCCTACTTTATCTTGAGCACCTCTAGTTCTGTGAAGACAGCCACTAAAAAAGTTGCAGAAATATTCACAAATACCTAGTTTCTCAGATAATAGAAACAGAAGCCGCTCACAAGTGCTTGCATTCTTTCCCCTCCCCCATCTTCCACAAATATACACATCTACTTGTATAAGAATATACACATGATTTCACCGTTAAATAGGTTATAATAGATGATTTCTGAAATTCTTTCAAGCTCTATGCTTCCAACATTTCAAAGGTTTCTAAAACATTTTTACATAGGCCATGGTTGGAGTATGATGTTGTAATTAAATAACTGTATTTCTCCACTTCGTCATTTTCTCTTCTTTGTGCTAATTTAACTTTGTACGTTTAAAACTTAGATTTAACCTAACCTGGTACGTTTAAAACTCACAGTGTTAATGGTTTCATCCCCATCCTTCCATCACTTTTTGAGGAGTGCACTAG